TCATAGGATTCCGTAAATATTCATTCCAAAAATAGAAAGTCGAAACAATTGGATTTTTTGGAGATTGGATGACGTTCATGCGCACGGGAACAAATCTGGACGATGTAATCGCAGGTATGCGGATCGCCCACGTGACCTCCCTCGTGGCACCACGTCAGCATCCATTACTACACGGCATGTTCTGGTTCGTCGAGACTGCTGACCGGGCATCCTACATGGCACAAATTTTTTAAATTGTATTTTGATCCATATTTTCGATTTTTCTTTAAAAAATGCTCTTAAAACCCAAATTTTCACCATTTTTCCCCAAAATTGTTTTTAATTTCATCTTTCATTAAATTTCCTTCATTTTTACACTAAATTAAATTTGGGCATTACAAAAATAATGGTGAATAAGAATAGAAATAAGTTGAATTATATCCATTTGGACTTATGGAGTCCATATAGAATTTTCTCCAAGAGTATATGGTATTTTATGACTCTTATTGATAATTACTCTCAAATGGTTGAGGTATGCTTTCTAAAGTAAAAAAAAAAAAGGTATTTTAAAATTTTATCAGTTGGAAGACCATAATTGATAAGCAAATAGAGAATAATGTTAAATGTTTTAGAACTGACAATGAATTAAAATTTTATAATAATGGGTTTAATGATTTCTATAATTAAAAAAAGCATAATGAGGACACTTTTCTTGCATGGAAAAACCATAATAGAATAGTATTGTAGAACACATGAATTGGATGCTTTGTGATAGGGTATGCAACATACTGTCACATTCAGGTTTAGGAGACGAATTTTGGGATAAGGTTGTTGACACTACTTGTTTCTTAGCTAATAGATCTTCATTTACAACTACTGAGTGTAAAGCTCATTTTGAGATATAATCTGATTCACCTGCTGATTATTCTTAATTGAGAGTATTTGGTTGCCCTACTTATACTTATATGAGAGATGGTAAGTTTAAGTCAAGGATAAAAAAAATGCATATTTCTATAATATGCATATAGATTGAAAGGTTGTGAGTTGTGATATAGTAGTTCAAAGTCTCTATGATTAATTATCAGTAAAAATATGATATTTAAAGAGTATGCTTCACTATATAGTCAAAAGAAAAAAACAATAGGACAATCAGATCACAGTATTAAAGAACAAGTAGAGTTAGAGGTTGATACTCTAATAGTTCAATCTAATAATCCATATAATGAGGTGTAAGTTCTTAATAAAAAAAAGTGATGATGAAGCTAATCAACAATAACCATACAACATTGCAACAAGTAGGAAGAGAAGATAAATTAGATCACCATAAAGGCATGAAAATATAGTTGTATATGCTTTGTTAGTTACAAAGATAATTGATTTGTAGGAACTTGATAGGTATAATGAAACTATTTTTAGTTCAGCCACAAATTAGTGGGTTGGTGCTATAGATGAAAAACTTGATATCAAATATTATTTCATTTGGGACATTGTATCACGAAAATACTGTAGTTGTACAGAAGATATTTACACATGAGAATTAAGTAGTTATGATGACCAAAGCGATCATAGTTAGCAAGCTTATATACCTCTAGACTTGGTTGAAATATATAATACTCAATAGTGCCCGTATAATGGTACTTTGGCAAGATAGTGTTTGTTGATGGAGAGAATTCAAATTAAATAGAAGATTTGTAGATGTGATTTGATTATGAAAATATTTTGTATGTATTATGCAAAATATTCATGTGTATACTCTAGAAAATATTCTAATATATTATAAAAATATCATAGAAAGACTCTAATATTTTGTGTATAAGGGTATACAACTCTGTTGTTGATGTACTATCATTTTCTCATTGTGGTGTAAAGTTTCTTATTAGTATATCCCATGGACGTAAACATCTCTATTGAATCACGTAAAATCTTGTTTCTTTTCTTATTTTACTCTTTATTGTATGTGATTATGTACATATTTGAGATTAATTTTCACAAGAAATATGAACCAAAAGTCAAATTAGATAGGAGTAAAGAAACTCAATCGAAGTAGACTAAATAATTTAATCTAGATTTTTTTTTTTTTTTTTAATTGTGAACATCAAAAATTTTATACAAGTCTGCTTCAATTTTCAGTTTAGACTGAAGGGATCAAAAATAAAAAATGATGTATGTAAAAAATCATAGTTATAAATTAATATTTATTTTATTAATTAATCATTATTACTTATGAATTTATTGTTTGTTTTTTTATTTTATTTTTTTAATTAACAAAGATAATTTAAGGAAAAAAATAAAATTAATTCAGTTCAACCTAAATCAAGTAAACTTTAGTCTACTTTTCAAGTTGAAATTAAAAGACTGAGAAAATTCGATATATTTGGATTCAATTTAATTTCACACCAGTGAACTGATCAGTTACCATCAATGTATAATATACAAGTAAATGAAAAGTAAAAAGAAGAAGGAAGTCATATTTAATTGAATGGGTCAAGTGTAGATCTGGACAGAAAAGAACATAATATAGAATATAGAAGCTTTCAAGAACAAGATGCTGCTAATCTTTTTCTATTTGTCAACATGTATGTATATATATATATATATATATGTCTAATTCCAGATTTTGACAGACAACACCAATGAATATGATTGCTTAATTAAGAGCCTCTCTCTACACACAGACTCTACTGTATAATCATATCGATTATATCTCTGCAGGAGGATTCAACATCCCTGGTGTATGCTTTACAACTAATATAATTTTTAATAGTATTTGAAAAAGTAAATAAAAGAAACTAAAATGAAAGTGAAATCAAGAGTCTTCTAAGTTAAGAATGTGCACGCGAACATGTACAACAGCATCGGATTCGTTTACTAGCAAACAAAGCAAGTTGTAAGGCCTGCCGTCTTATTGTAATTAACTACCCTACGTGCTTATCTTTTTTTTTTTTTTTTTTTTTTTTCTGCATGTTCTTCACGAGAATTAACCCAACTGATCTCAAGTTTATCTAACCTAATTCCTTCAATACTGAATTGTAAAGACATTCATCAAAAGATAAAAAGAATATAAGAAGAGAATATACGTATGCAAAAGCATTGAATTCTTAGGAATCTATTAATTTCTCATGTGGGTTTTAATGACTAAAAGGAAGGGCATTGAATTCTATAATTTTCGATATGAGATAAGTACTCTACAACCCTTTGTTTTTAACTATTGATCAACAAATTTCAACAACACAAATCAAACCAGCTTTTTTTCTTGCAGTAATTCCAAATGGCCGATACTGATATTCAATCCGGATGTATTGGAGGCAGCAGCTTGGTAGCCAGCTTAGCATCAGAAGAGGTTGAGTTTCTCTTATCACCTCGAGCAAAGGTAAACTGGGTTTTAATTTTTTCCTTCAAAGATATTGCAGAGAGAAGCTGAAAGAAAATCATCGTTAATTTCATCCAGGTACCCTTACAATCACTCCATGGGAAGAAAATTTGTCTCTTCTTCTCCGCAAACTGGTGCAGGCCATGTAAGAGTTTTACTCCTCTGCTTCTTCAACTTTTTGACACCTTAAGAAAAAAACGTCAAGAGTTAGAGATTATCTTCATCTCCTTCGATCACGACGAGCAAGAATTCAATGACTACTATAAGTGCATGCCATGGCTTGCTGTTCCATTCAATTCAAATCTTCACAGAAAATTGAGTGAAAAATATCATGTCGATCGGATCCCTTCACTTATCCCACTAAACCCAGATGGGGTCTCAGTCGAAGACGACTCAATTGATCTGGTTGAAGACTACGGAGCTGAAGCATATCCTTTCACTGCTCTGAGAAGAGAACAGCTGAAAGCCATTGACCACGCCAAGCGCAGAGGAGCCAAGATTGAAGAACTGTTAGCGCATGATGAACAAAGCTACGTCGTTTCAAGAGATGGCAGAAAGGTATCCCAAATGCTCATTCAATCACAATACTTCTCACGCTATGCGTATACATATGCGCATATATATATATATATTATATGTATGTATTTGTTTTTGCAGGTACCGATAAGTCAACTGGTTGGGAAGACAATAGGGCTTTACTTCGGCGCATATTGGTGTCCGCCATGCCGTGCGTTCACCGGACAACTTACAGAAGCTTACAACGAGCTGATAGGCACGACCAAAAGAGACAGTTTAGAAATAATATTGGTATCGACCGATAGAGACCTCAAAGAATTCGAAGTCAACATGAGCAGCATGCCATGGCTAGCAATTCCATACGAGGACAGAATCAGACAAGACCTTGGCAGGATCTTTAACGTTAAAGGAATTCCAGCTCTAATCTTCATCGGACCAGAAGGGAAGACAGTGAGCACAAATGGGAAAGAGATGATTTCCCTGTACGGTGCAAAAAGCTTTCCGTTTACAGAATCAAGAATTGCAGAGATAGAAGAAACCCTGAAAAGAGAAGGGGAGAAGCTGCCGCAGCAAGTGAAGGACATGAAACATGAGCATGTACTGAAACTGGATATGGCGAAGGCGTACGTGTGTGATGAATGCAAGAAGCAAGGCAAGTACTGGGCGTTCTCTTGCGAGGTCTGTGATTATGATCTTCATCCGACATGCGTCCAAGACCAACAAGAATTGTAAACATTAACTACTACTTCTAGATTATATTTTATATATGTATAAACCGATGTTAAAATTATAAAGTCAATAAATTCCAAATTTAACTATCCGCGTATTTGGTGGATGGTGGGTCTCTGACATTTTCTCTTCTTCTAGAAAAAAAAAAAAAAAAATAGCCGACATAGATGTGTGTATGTATATAGTTCGAGTGTGCATTTTGGAGGCACCTGAAAATATAGGAAAGAAAAAAGAAAAGGACACCTGAGAATCCGGGAAAGAAGGGTGTTCTCACGTTTTAGGGTAGAGGAATTATAGAGGGATTTGTGGCTCGAAAGAACCAAACCAGTTAAAAAGAAGAAACTAATCCAGGCAAACACAGATTGGAAGGTTTCAAAAAAAAAGGAAAAAAGGAAACAAGTTAGATTTACACAACAACCCTACCCAATTACACACAATCGCCACGACTCCCTTCTTGTCTCTCTTCGTCCTCACGTACGGAAGAGAGACCATGAAAACAAGCAAACAAATAAACAACTTGTGAAGAGAGTACAGGTGGAGAACAGAGAGATTCTGTTATTCGTTTAGAATTTTTGTAGATTAAAATTATTTTGGCTTTGGATTAGTAAAACTAAACCAAAAAGGAAAAAGAGTGCGTTATTCAAGATTGGTTTAGTTGCGGAAATTTACAGAGGAAAAAGAAAAGAGAAGAGTAATAAGATCAATCAATGTGGACGCCGAAACACAATGCGGTGGAGAGGAGGGATTCTGGAAATGGGCTGGTGGCGGTGGCCATAGACAAAGACAAGAACAGCCAGAATGCTCTGAAATGGGCAATTGATCATGTCTTGCAAAGAGGCCAAACTGTTATTCTCATTCATGTTAATGTCAAGCAGCAGATGTCGGCTTTTTCTACCTTGCCTCCCTTCTCTAGTAACTTTCTCTTCCTCATCTTTCTCCTTTTAATTTCTTGTTTTTGATTACTATATCTAATATGATATAAACTGGGGGAAAAGAATTGGAATTAAAATTGTTTAGTTGTACAGGGATGAACCAAATGGCTGATATGGGTGAAGGAATTCAGGCATCTAAAGAGCCTGATCCTCAAATCAGAGAACTCTTCCTCCCTTTCCGTTGCTTCTGTACACGTAAAGATGTAAGCTTTCACCATTTTCTTTCATATGCACTTCTTCAAGGAATACTATTTTAGCTTCTTAATTAATCCATTATTTAATTGTTTTTTTGGGTTACTGCAGATACAATGCAAAGATGTTTTACTGGAGGATACAGATGTAGCAAAAGCATTAATTGAATATGTAACTCAGACAGGAATAGAAGTTTTGGTTGTGGGAGCTCCAGCAAAAGTGGGATTTTTAAGGTTAATATTTGAAGTATTATTTTTTTATTTAGAAAATTAATGTTATAAACCTGAACTTAATTAAGAACTGACTTGAATCAAATTTGGTCTGCGAAGATTTAAAGCCACAGATATACCTGGCAGTGTGACAAAAGGTGCACCAGATTTTTGTACAGTATATGTTATATCTAAAGGTAAGATTGCAACTATGAGATCAGCCTCCCGCCCTGCCCCGGTCATCTCTCACCTCCGGACACAACTTCTCAATTCGCCGGGAACAAAACCTCCTCAACCAGTCTTGTCTCCGACTCCAGTTAATAATAGTCTCAGAGGTAAATCATTCTCACCATACCATGCTCTTGTTTACATTTTGAGTCTTATCAGAATTTTGATATATTTTTGTTCATCTCTCAGCGCCTGAAAGGCTATCATTAGAGATACCACGCAAATCTTCTGAGGACTCAGACTTCTTTAGGTTTGTGTAGATATAACACAAACTATGAAATTCAACCATTTATTATTGGTTTTACTTTGGATTATAATTCGATCTATTTTAAACACAAACAGATCACCTTTTACTAGGAAAGGTTTAAATGGGAAGTCATACGGGGAATTGCCTCCGCCTCCAGACACAGACATATCATTTGTGAGCTCAGGCAGGCCTAGCATGGATCGGATATTTCCTAACTTCTATGACAATCAAGATACAATCCGCAGTCCTATACGACTCTCTAATATTTCTGATTTAGACAGCAATAACAGTTTTGAGTCAATTCAATTTGGAAGGAAATCTTTGGACATGATCAACTCTCCAACTGACTACTCTTATACCTCGATGGATAGCGAGAGAATGTCATCTGCGTCTCAGAATGTGGTAACCATACAAACCTTTTTGCACGCCAGTTTAATGTTTTTTGTTTCGAACTCCTCAATACTCTTGCATAAATGGTTAGGACGACGTGGAATCCGAAATGAGGAAGCTAAGGCTAGAGCTCAAACAAACAATGGAAATGTACAACACAGCTTGTAGAGAAGCTCTTGTGGCAAGGCAAAAGGTAAGATAAATATAAACCATCCTCTTTTTATATATATCCTTCTTTATAAGTGTATGATATCAGACACCGAATTATCTGTTTATGGCATAATCTGAACCTGTTTGTTTAAAGATACAAAGATTACATTTTCAAAACCCATGGCTGCAGGCAAGAGATCTCCAGCGCTGGAAATTTGAAGAGGAAAGGAAGCTCGAAGAAGCACGAATGGCAGAGGAAACTGCAATGGTCATAGTAGAAAGAGAGAAAGCCAAGTCTAAAGCAGCCATTGAGACTGCAGAAGCAGCTCAGAGAATTGCAGAACTTGAGGCCCAGAAAAGAATTAGTGCAGAAATGAAAGCACTCAAGGAATCCGAAGAGAAAAGAAAGGCACTGGATGCTTTGGCTAATTCAGATGTTAGGTACAGGAAATATACAATTGAGGCCATTGAAGCTGCAACTGAATTCTTTGCAGAGAAATACAAGATTGGAGAAGGGGGTTATGGACCCGTATACAAGTGTCATTTAGACCACACACCTGTTGCTGTTAAGGTTTTACGCCCAGATGCAGCTCAAGGAAGATCACAGTTTCAGCAAGAGGTACACACTTTTTCCACTTCATCTTCATAATTTGATCAAAAAATATATGTATTTAATACATTATTTCATGCTAGTTTACATGTTGATTTTGACTTGCAGGTAGAAGTACTGAGCTGCATAAGGCATCCTAACATGGTTCTCCTCCTAGGAGCCTGTCCTGAATACGGATGCTTAGTTTACGAGTTCATGGCCAATGGCAGCTTAGAAGATCGTCTTTTCCGGCGAGGAAACACGCCACCTCTTTCCTGGCAGATTAGATTCAGAATTGCCTGTGAAATCGGAACAGGTTTACTCTTTCTCCACCAAACCAAACCAGAACCTCTTGTACACCGTGATCTGAAACCCGCCAACATCCTGTTAGACCGCAACTTTGTGAGCAAGATCAGTGACGTTGGGTTGGCCAGATTGGTTCCTCCATCTGTGGCGGATAACGTGACGCAGTATCGAATGACATCGACAGCCGGCACTTTCTGCTACATTGATCCAGAATATCAACAGACAGGCATGTTGGGCATAAAGTCTGATATATACTCTCTTGGGATAATGTTCCTACAGATGATCACGGCCAAGCCTCCAATGGGTTTGACTCACCATGTTGAGCGAGCTATCGAAAAGGGGGTTTTCGGCGACATACTTGATCCAACTGTGCCTGAGTGGCCAGTTGAAGAAGCTTTGAGCTTTGCAAAAATGGCGATCAAGTGCGCAGAGCTAAGGCGGAAGGACAGACCAGATCTTGCCAAAGTTGTGTTGCCAGAACTTGAAAGATTAAGGGCACTTGCTGAAGAGTCCATGTACCATGCTTTTCCTCCTACAAGTCCTGGTTTATCACCCAACCAGAGCCAAGTTTCTCTGCAACTAGTAAGTTGTTATCTCTTTTTGTTTTTCTTTTCTTTAAACATTTTACATGCACAAATTTCTGGAGTTGGAATTCTGATTTACATGGTACCCAGAATTTACCGAAGCGTTTGGAAAGTAACAAGAAGATTTGCTTCTAATTTTTACAGGAGACGATGAGTAACCCTCACTATCCACATTCTTACGCCTAGAAGCCCTCTGCAACAAAATATGGGAGAAAAGTAGAGTTTTGTTGGTAAATTGAAATTCAAATTTCTGCAATTTTCAAGCTTTCTTTCCATTTCATATGGGAATAGAATTATGAAGAAGATGATTCCAGCAGATGTAATTGCATGTGATTTCTTTTTTATTTTTCTTTTTTCTTTTTTTCCCTAAAGGGACACACACACCTTTTTAGTCTGATTTTGGTAGAACTCCAAATGTGTAATATAATCAGTAATTTTATTCATCAAACTCGGGAATTCTTGAAGATTTGGAAAAACACAAAAAGTCAGGCGTGTAATTTTTTATTTTTATTCTTTATTTGTATATTTTTTTAGGAAAATTGTAAAGGAATATAATTGTTAGTTAATTCTCTCTCTTATACTTGATTGATAACATAAAATACTTTTTAAAAATAAATTGATATAATTTGAAATATATTGGTTGAAATTAAGTATTTGTAAATAAATTTCACAGTTTTATTACATTTATTTATTCTATAAAAAAAATAAATAAATAAATAAGAACCACCAAATGCATCCATAATCCCCCCCCCTCCCCCCCCTCTCAAAACTCCATTCTAATACGTCGAATATCAATAAAAACATAATCTGCTTCGGGACCCCTAATAGAAGTCCAGAGTTATTTTTTAAAATATTTTTTAATATTTGGATAAATTATTATTGATGAACTCAAAAAAAAAAAATTAATTTGAATCATACTGAATTGACTGTTTGATTTGATTTTTGTTTTATTTTTTTCAGATTAGATTTTGATTTATTTTGTATGTGTTCGGTTTATTTTAATTTTAGACGGTTAAACAACCCTAATCGTTGGACAATTTAAACAGAAAATGAGACTTTTAGAGGTTTGCCCAATGTTTCATCTAATTAACTTCTAACACTTAAAGCCAATTAAGCATGGAACTTTGAATACACGTGTGTGTGTGTGTTTAAATATTTGGCCGACTTTATTACAACATTTTAATATCTAGACACCTTGCATGCATCTTCAGTGACCGCCAAATCAGTTTCTATATAATCGACCACCAGAATATGTGTGTAAAGTAAGAAAAAATAATAATAATAATAAACGGAAAACAAATGGCCAATATCCGCGTGAGTAAACGAGCTCATACGGAGGGAAATGAGACCGGAAGTCGGCAACCTAGATGAGCTCATGGAGGTGGGAATAAAACTGAGAGCAGAGAACAAAAAACCAATGCTGGTTTTTAAACAGAAAATACATGGCAACGCATGGCGTAATCTGGAGTAGAAGAGGGCATGTGTCGACAATCGACCAGAGTAGGGAATGAATGATCTGCGTGTCACTAATGGGTGAATGTTAAGAGGTACGTGGCACAAAGCCAAAATAGCTATTTAATGAAAATTGGGGTTTGAAAAAGTGTCTCAAAGTTTGAGAGTTCACTGATAAAGGACTAGGGTTCCCCTTAAATATCTCTAAGTTCAGGGATACGTGGCACAAGAACTCTAGCCACGATACTTAAGGGAGTGAGTGATTATGGTTATTCCTGTTGATCTGTTTTCTTGGAGGGTTTTCAGGAATTACTCATGTCAATTCTAGTTTCTTTAAGGTTTAAATACTTTGCATTCGTTGATTCAAGGATGGTAAGTCTGAATATCGAGCATTACTTGTTTGCTTATGACCTCTAGAGTGTTGTGGAGAAAGAATATACAAAAGACAGTTTGCATCAATGAAAAACTTCAAGGTTCTTTCCTTCATTCAATACATTATTACTAACACAAAATTTCGTAGCATTTCATAATTCTTCTTTATCCCAATCACCTATCAAAGTAACACTCTCCTATTAGGACATGAGATGGAGGATTACCACTTGCCTGCAGCCTGTTAGCAGACTTGCATCCTGCTGGCACAAACCAGCACTGCTTCTTGTCCGTAAGCTGCAAGCATTATTTCGGCTTCGACCTAAGAGGATGCCGCTTAGGTCGAAGTAGCAATCAATATACGAGTAAAACATTAACTATCACAAGAAGATCTAGTCATGAATGAAGGGGAATGTGGATTCGAGAGATCACTTACATTTGTTATAAATAACAGGAACAATAAACAGAAATTCAGATACAAGGCTCCATCATATCTTTATATATATATATATATATATATATATATATATAGCGAGGAGATCATACATAAATACTCCCCTAATACTAGAATTATAACTACTGCCTTCAATACAGCTACCCCCAGTTCAAATGACGCCAAAATCCAGAAACCAGCAATCTACACGGTTATCTCCTCCCTATCTGGAAAAAACGAAAAGAACGAAAAACCAATAGATACACAAGCTTATATGTAAATTCTTACTGCTGTTTATCCTTTCCAGTCACTTATATATCCCTTTACCTTCACCCATCTCTTCTTCGTCCTCCTATCCTGGATCAGTCGATTGTCATTGGTTGGGTCATACAACACCTGAAGCGGGCCTTGCGCACGGTAGTAAGTATCTCTGTTTCAGCATTTTCGAGCATTCTGACAATCTCAGTGAAGGGTGGGCGGACTTCAGGATTGGTGTCCCAGCATCTGGTCATGATCTCACTCAGCACAGGGAGACAATCATTAGGGATAACCGGCCTTACACCTTTATTCACCACTGCAAATGCTGCCTGTACTGCTGTCATGTTTTGGAAGGGAAGCAAACCCGTGATTAACTCCCAAAGGACAATTCCAAAGCTGTATACATCAACTTTCTGTGTGTATGGCCTATGTTGAATCATCTCTCTGCAAGAATGACAAACACCTTAAGATTTAAGTTATGGATTCAAATTCAATGTACATGATGTCTGTAGTTTGATATAGAATATAACTCATGGACAGTTGACAGCCTCTGTTATTTACTGATTATTAGCTCTACTTGGATACCATCAGAAGAAAACATAAAGCAGAGAAACGTTGCATAATTGGAAAGAGCACAAGACTGACATAATTTGACCTCAATCAAGACTAAGACTACAGAATTGCTACTGTATCCAATGACTTGAAAGATCAGTGCTTGCACGACTCAAGTGTGCAATTAATTAAGAGTTCATTAATTGCATGCAGATCAAATCACACCTGCACCTCAAACTCTCCCTTTCAAATTCACAGATGACTCTCCCTTTAAAATAATTCAATACCTATTATCATGCTAATAATAGTAGATGCTCCATTGAAAGTTTTCCTGAGCTTTTAGGAACCAGTAATGTCAACATTACAAATATAGGTTCAACAAATGAATGACAAGTGCTAGAAAGAACATGCAAGGTGACCATTAAACTCAGAGTGAGTCAGCATCTCAAAATTGCACAAGAACAAAAGTGTTGTGTGTAGTATCAAACAATAAAAGATCTGTCCAGCCCCAACTGACCTCTTAACAACTTCAGCTATTCAAGTGCCACAATGAACTATTTTTTGAAGAAATAAAGAAATTTTGCCATGAGATATAATACTGAAGCTCAAGAAAAGAAAAAAACATAGAAAGCTACCATGAGATCAAGGATTCATGTGTTGAGTCCAGTAAAAACAAACTTTCTCATGTAGTTAGGGGAATCAGGTACCACGCTCAGTAGAGAACAAACTGACCTCTGTTTCACCTTCCATGTAAAGTTTTGTCTTTGGACATTCAAACTGACTGAATAGTTTTCTTCCAAGAAAAAGACTGAATAGTGAAGGTTAAAATGTACAAGGCACACACCGCTGCCCAAATCCACATGTCAAGATTGAACAAATTTTTCTAGATAAAAGCTCCTTAACACTGCTAAGAGGGTGCGCCCAGACACAGGTAAGGAGAAAAAATAATTGGGCAGCAGAGAAAAGATAGTTAATCTTGATGCAGTCACATAGCAAAATCATGTTAGTGATATTGAAGCTATATTAGCCCCAAGATATTTAATCTGCTCGCATGTTTCCTTCAGGGACCAATACATAAGCTATTGGATACTTCCAATATAAAAATTACATTGTTAGATGTTGCAGCTAACTACCTTATCCATTCTAAATACAATATTCAACTCCAAAAACTTCTAAACTTCCCTTGAATGACTACCTCTTATTGAACGAGGTCACATTTTATTTCAAATAGCTATTTATGTGGCTTTATAACAATTTTTCTATATAATTCAGAACAAAACTGTGCACTTCATACTAAATTTGAGCTCTCTTGAATCCTTTGTTTCTGACATGATAGTAGCTCAAACAAATGATAATGCTATCCCAACCATTAACTAATAAAAAAACCATTAGGTAGTAAAATGACTGTCAAGAAAGGGTGCAAACGTTTCTCATGAAAACATAAATATACGTGTCATGCACATACCAATAAGAGGTGTTTCCTATGATTAATTAATTCTCATAAAACAAAGGCAAAAAAAAACACTTCTATTAAAGTATTTCTCCTGTCAAGGCATAAGCTGTGAGCATGATTAGTTTTAGAAATCCACACAAAAGGCTTAACAACCTGATGAATAGCATGAGCCAAAAAAATTATAAAGGACATTTCAGAAGAAGCCATAAGGTAAAAATGGTAGAATACAAACTACTAAAATTTCAAATCTTTCCATAGTTAGAAATCCCACACTATTCTCAGCTTTTCCATATATTGATTAAAAAGTTCTGGGAGGCAAATGAAAAGGCAACTGCATATTTGAACAGCCAAAGAGGCATAGCAGATCTGAGTGTCACATTCAGATTAAAGTTGGCAAGCCACGAAAATATTCATTGATCAGATAGCAGCCAAGAAAAACTAAATATGATATCAGGCCAGGTTACGTACATATCCTGAAGAGCTCATTCAAGTTCATCATCTTATTTTACTTTCCATAAAATGTGCAAGGGAGAGAGAGAGAGAAAGAGAGAAAAAGAGAGAGAGAGATGTCTCAACTGCTTAATGAGAAGGTCTCCTTAAGAGGAAGAACCAATGCATTGCTTTATGATTGCACCATGTACTTTTTAAAAAAAATAAATTTGATTGCCCCATGTATGGTTATAATAATGCCCAGTTTTAACTTAAATGCTTATGTATGAAACTAAAATGACGCGACATCAAGGCAAACCCCCAACTGAAAGAACAAATACTCCTGCTCTAAAGAGATCAGCAACATGTTAATCCCAAACAAATTGGGCCAGTCACATGATCATGTCAGTCTAACCCTATCTAAAAACAATATCCCCCAATATAGTTGAATGTTTGGTCCACTTTACCGTTTAAATGGTAGAAGCTTTCAAATAACTTCGAATATATTTTGCTCTATGTCAGAACTATAAGCAGAGAAAATAAAGATAGACAAGATATGAGGCAAAGAAAGGGAGACAGAAGGAAAGATGTACAGTCATTATTTATGTAAAAGGATGTAATATCTACATGCAAATAAAAACAAATAAATTAATATGTTATATAAAAAAATCACAGTAATAACAACCAAGAAATTCTGTCTAAACTAACATTAAATAGCTCAAACCAAGGACAAAAAGCCGGGAGTTAGTTAAGACAAAACTTGAGTATTTAAAGTAACTGTTAAAAGAAAGTTTTTTTTTTCGTCAGAGATATCTGTGTAAAGTTTGAATCACTACTTGACATCATAATCTTATCGAGTAACGTAACGTGTAACACATACTTTCCTTTGTCCTTCTTGACCTTTTCTTCTTTTCTTTGAAACTATTTGACCTTTTCTTCTTTTATAGCTTACAATTTGTCTTTTCACACCGATAATATAAGTAAAAAGAGCTAAGTCAACTTTCTAGCAATTCTGCTGTAGGATATCTTCGAATAATTCCCACTAACAACCAACTAAGTCAAGTTGTGAGTCGTAAACTATTTGTGGAACCCAACAATGTCCATAATCGAAAAGTGCCGTATGAGTGGCAACTACTCGCCTAAAGGAAGCAGACTGTCTAGCATTTAAGTGCTCTTCCAGATATGTATATTTATTTTCTTTCCTTATTTCCTATCACTGAAAAGGTGGTCAAGAGGATTGAGGCTATTCAATGCCAGTTATTATGGGATGATATGGAAAATTGGAGATTCGTTTCATTTTGTGGCTTGGAAAAATAAAGTTTCATTTTGTGGCTTGGAAAAATAAGAAACAACCAACAAGGAAAGGGGTTTGGGAAATATAAGGTCTTTCACTAGCTTCAATCAAGCTTTCCCAACTAAGTTGAACTGGCCGATCGTCTTTTGTAGAGATTTTTGGAAATTTTATTAAGGCCAAATTCACCTAGTTAGTGGATAAGTGATTGTCTGGCCCAAATAGTGGTGCTTTTGCCTCTAGCCCTTGGAGATGGATGGAGAGGATTAAACAGATTTTCTTGGCCATATTTAGTCTAAGGCAGCCAATGGTCGACATGTTAGTTTCTAGGATGACCATTAGTGTGCTTATAAGCCTTTAAAAGAGGTCTTCCCCCTCAATTTTCTCTGTCGCTATATTTACAGAGGCAAGGATTCCGGATTGCCAATTCTCCAATTGGAAAATATCTATGGATGGGACATTTCTGTCAGATCCTATTACTTCCACTTGACGTTACTTCTATATTTTGGACTATTTCCCTTAAAAAAACATATAGAATAAAAGCAACCTCAAGAATTGCCTTTTTAGTTGGAAGCTTGCATGGAAGAGGATCATAACCGCAACTCAATGCCAAGAAGCAATTTTGGTCAAGGATGAGTTCTTGTTCCTGGAATGGGATTCTAGCAGCAAAACCTAGGAGAAAGTACAAGTCTCTTATTTTCCCTGTTATCTTCTAGTTTATTTGGGAAGAGGGGAACAACAAAGCATTGCAATTCTTCTTCATCCTTCGCTTCTATGCAAGATCGTTGGTTTAGAACCCTGCATATTTCGCTTAAAGGTCACTTTGTTAGTACTGAAGTAAATTTTATCCACTTATTTATCTTTTTTCTTTAGGGAAAACTAAATACCTGGATCAATAGGTGAGACACCCCTTGGTGACTTCTTTTTTTTTTTAAATAAAAAATGTAAAAGTATATAAATAGGTATCAAAGGAGTACCACTCATGTACAATATATCTACAACGTATTAATAGTGTATACAATATTCCCAAAATCTTCCCATTTATACATGTCATGAGCTAAAATTACTGAACCAAAAAAGTGTAACCACCTATCCCTAGTTTTTGTCATCTCACCCTTAATACCATCAAAAGCTCTACTGTTCCGCTCTTTCCATTTTTTTTTTTTTGAAATAAAAGTATGAATATGTATTGATGTAAGGGTGCCAATAGGGCATTACCCATTTACAAAAAATTTACATGTCAATTAGGAAATCAACAATAAAACCTAGACCATCAAAGCAAACTAGGTCATGCCCTAAAACAATAGAGCCAAAATAATGGAACCAGTTATCAACGATGATGCCAAAATTTGCTTATTTCCCTTCAAAAGCACATTTGTTCCTCTCCTTCCAAATGATTCAAATGATAGTGAGAGGGATGAGCCCAAGAGACTTATTCGTGTTGGTAAGACCTTCCCAAGTAAGTAGTTCGTCTTTAATTATTCCATTCATAACCCAAGAGATGCCCAGTAAACCAAGAACTGTGGACCAAAGATTCAAAGAAAAAGGGCATTCCGCCCTTTCCATACAACTCAAAAAATAGTTAAAAGGATAAACTTTAAATGTTTTTTCTTTTTACACAACCCCTTCCAAGCCCATAATTCCTCTCTCACTGACCCAACAATCACCCACTTAATGCCAAACAAATTATACACCATGGTCCAGAGCTCATAAACTACCAGGCACCAAAGGAGAATATGGCTACAGGTTTCTGCATCATTTTTACATAGTTAGCATCCATTCACCATAGTTCTATCCCTTCTCACCTAATTGTCGATAATCAAGATGCATTCCCTTCCCGCTTCCCATGCAAAAATGTGATTGTAGGAGGAGCCTGGCTTTCCAAATTTGTCTGTCAGGAAATCGATCAACCCCACCCCCCTGGTTGCCAACCAACTAATGATAGTAGCACTTGATAGAGAAATTTCCATTTTTCTTTAATTTCCACAAAATGCGGTCCCTCTCATCGCTTAGATTTTTTTTTTTTTTAAGATAAAAAGGTAAAGTATATAATTCAAAAATTGGCACAAAGGTAGTGCCCTCCATGTATAAAAGATTTACAACTCAGTCAGTATACCAATAAAATTCCCAAAATCTTCCACCCTCATAATGTCATGACCCAAACACAAAGAGCCTAAATAATGCAGCCATCTATCCCTCAATTTTAATCAGTCACCATCAATCCCTTCAAATGCCCTTTGGTTCCTCTCCTTCCACACCACCCAAAAAATAGTTAGTGGTATTAAATTTACAATTTTCCTCCCCCTACTTAAACCCTCCCAAGCCCACAACTCATTTTTTACATTACCCACAATAATCCAATTAATACCAAGAATACCATATACCACTGTCCACAAGCTATAAGCCACCGGACACCATAACAGAATATGGTTACAATTTTCCTTATCACTTAGATGAACAGAGGATAACAAGTGAATCAGTGCTTAATGTTCATCAACCTCCCAAACATTAAGATACTTCTTGGTGACTTCTTAATAACCTTCAAAGTAAAAGCTTGACCAACCCTCCCTTTCTCAAGTAGCAAATAAGAAATTAAAATAACAATTTCCATAGAGATCCCCCCTCAAAATAGAAACATTAAGCAGACTTTCCATTTTAAGCTGTGCCCAAATCATTAAACACAATCACCTAGAGTAAAGAGTTGAGAAGTTGTGAACTAAATCACTCATTAAGCTTTGCCGAAGAATTGAAAGAAAAAATCATCTAACATAATGTGTTTATAGAAACTCTTCTATTTTTTCCCCTTTCTAGAGAGATTTATTTCCTAATGACGATATGGAAATTTTCTGGATATCCTATCATTACCTCCATAAAAGCTTTGAACAGTCAAAGAATCTTCTCCTAAGAAGACATGGAAACTTGTTTACAACTTTGATGGACAAGGAAAAAGGAGCATACTTATGGGTTATACAACTTCCAAAACAGTGAGGAGTCATTCAGTGTGAAATTAATGGGATTGGCAGGTTATCAGGATATTGACGAGTTCCTAACTTTTTAGGTATTATCAAGTGTAAAAACCAAAAGAAACTAATTTGAATAATCACATGATGTTTTCATTACATTCTATGAAATTTTTCAACAACTAAGGTACTTTCTCATGTTATTACAGTTCCATCCCAACATCCATACACGAAATTCAACCAAAAGGCAAAAAGAATGGCCATGTTAGCTTCATGACAGTTTTTAAAATTTACAAGCATTTGAAGTCAATGAAGAATAAATTAAAAGTGGGACAAGAACTGAAAACCCAGGACAAGGCTTGGAACAACTTTTGGTGGAGCTGCTTCAAAAAGAATTTATAGATAATATGTTATCTGGTTTCATTTTATTCAAGCAGAATGTAGAATAAATCTTAATAGCCTCAAAGCAACTTTTGATCTTGCATTCCCATCCTGTCTAGGTCATAGAAAACTTAATAGATTGAGGAATTTGCTAAGGCAGTAACTGCTCTTCTAAATATAAGGGAAAAAAAATAAAAACATATTAACCATATCTACATCCTCTTCTGAGAAAAAAATAAATAAATAATAATAAATTATAATGTAATTCATAAAGGCACCACCCTCTCTACATCTTGAGAGATGAAGTACAAACATAGAATGCTTATTAATTGTCAGTATAGAAGTTAATAGCACTATCAACACCAAGTTGCAGAAATCTCAAATGATCTCCAAGAATTGTTCCTCACTTTCTCCTCTGTTACGGTGACTATTGCCTAAGTGATGCTTACAAGCATTGCTTCCTGATCCATCAATGGTTTAAACAATCTGGGGCATACTACTTCAAATAAACTAACAGAATTTGTTAAATACAGTACCCAAAAAAAAATAAAGGGGATATAAGCCCATCAACAAAACTATAATCCTTTACATGCTTCCAATACAATTAATCTGAAGCTAAAATTCTAAATACAGAAGGATACTTTTCACATCTGAAGAAAATCCCAAAAAGTGATTTAGTGCATCAAGGAGCATAAAACACACAACCACAAGACTGAAGACTCATTAAATGGATGGTTATATGCCTATATTGCACACCCCTATATTCAAATATATATCCATGCACGGGTATGCAGTTATATCCCCAGAATATCATAGATGTATGGATGCATATGAATGCATGATTATACGCATGTACATAGATAGTGTTGGCATATACATATATGTTTTACATATAGATTTGTTTTTTGTATGTACGTATACATATTATGCACGTACATGATACCTCAATTATAAATAGAAAAGTCAAAAACACCAAAAACTTCAATTATTTTCAAACTTATTATGTTCGTTTTCATTTCCGAAGACTCGTTTTATGCATAAACATATATGTATAGGAAATAAATAAAAAAAATGTTTCCATGCACTAAACTTAGCATGGATATTTATTTTTTAAGAGTTGAGAAGATAGAATAACTGGTGCTTTGTGAAATAACTTAACATAAGCTTGCAATAGAGCTTTGCTTCCATGCCAGATTGACTTAAAGAACATAATCCTAGATGAAAAACAGTTTGTAGGCTATAGCGTGATAGTGTATAGGAAACATTACCAGGTTATACACATGGCCTAAAAATTAGTCATGACTCAAGCCAGTAGAACAAAAAGACAATCTAACAAACTACTAGCATCAAGATCTTGCAAGCATATTCAAGGCATTAAATCATAACAATGGATTATTTTCTAAGCAACTTAGACAAGTGAAAAAAAAAAGAACAAAGATTCAACTACCAAACAAATTGCAGAGTCAAAAAAAGAAACAGACTAAAGTCTGTTCACTTACGGGGCCATCCAGCGATATGTCCCTGTTTCAGGTGTCATCCCCTCTGTTTGCACCTCAATTCGTGCAACACCAAAATCTGCAATCTTTATAGATTTATCCCCTGATATAAGAAGATTATCTGACTTCAAATCCCGGTGAATAAAGCCAAGTCCATGGACATATGCCATCCCCCTTGCAACATCCAATGCCTGCTTAACAGCCAATTTTAATGGCACAGCTCGGTTCTGTCTTCTCGCCAAAAACTGCCGAACTGACCCTCCCTTGGCATACTCGGTCACAATGCACCACACCATTGGCTTCCGGCATGCCCCAATAAACCGGACAATGTTTGGGTGCTTCAATGTTGCAAGCATCATCACCTCCTGCTGAAACTGCTGCTCCATCACTTGTGCCTTCTCAGGGCTATTCTCAGGCCTCTCCAGGATCTTAATTGCAACATCCTCCCCATTATATGTCCCTCGATATAATTTACCAAAGGCTCCTTGAGCAAAAGCCATGCCCATATTAAGCTTCCTCAAATCAATTGTCCACTCCTCATAATTTGCCAGCCCCTCAGTTGGATACCTACTATCCATCAAGGTTTGCACTAATGCATCAGAGTTAAGTTCATTTGTAACTCTACCTGGACGAAACACACTTTGCCCAACAGAAAGAGAGTAGTTGTGACGCACAGGCTTTAAGCCAGGGTGGCTTAAAATGTGGGTTAGAGAATCACTGGATCCGACGCTGCTATTATCCACTGACATCGAGACAGAACCACCAGCGTTACTAGTCTGTAAACTGTCAATAGACATGTTTGTGCCTTCCCCAAGTTTTTGATAAAAGCCTTGAGTGAAATCATCATAATTATTGTCATTGTTGTTGTTTCCCCCAAGCAGTCCGGTAAACTTTGGCCCCTCAACCATTTTCCCAATCATGTAAGGAACCAGTAAATTGAAACCGTGATGTGCAACTCTTTTTAACCCAATATACTGATAATCATTTGATAGAGTAGTATCTTCAGCATGCACCCTAAAACCAGAAGTACATAAAGGATATAATTAGAGACACGAACAAAAGGAAACCCTAAACAACAAGTTCATGCACAAACAACATTTTATTTAATTTACTTACTAATAAAGCAGTATGCTACAATCCCAAACAACCTACTTAAAAATGAGCCCTTTTCACAATGATATCGTTTGGATGGGATACTTTAAATTTCTGAGAATTTTGGAACTAACCACTTCATCTTAGTATCTCCCTGTGCTCATTGAATAGTCAATTCATGAATTCCTCGGATTCCTAAAAGATATTTTCAAGCACTTGAGAAAATCAGATTTTGCCCTTACAGGTAAATTTCTCTGATCCATTGGGTAACCAGATCTTCTTAGCAATAAGGTGGAAAAACAAAACCAGTAAAAAGAAAAAAAGAAACTGACTGATAAATCAACAAGAAACTCATAAACAAGATCATCCTATGATCAAATCAAATAGAAAGCTGAGCCCTTAGTTATGCGACTCATCTAGGCTTACAAGGTAAGCAAATTCCAGATTAAGCTACCAATTATGTAGTCATGGTAGGTCCTCATGAACATGAGTTCTCTGTGGATTAGCATGTGAGAGGATATGAAGAGTTTCGCATCTTGAGAAGGATAGAGAACTTCATGGAAAAGAGAGAGGACTACTAGTTGTGAAAGATGGTGCTTAGAAAAGTTATCTTTGATGGTATGATGGGATCAAGAAGGGCAATAAGACAAAGAAGAAGAGAGGATAACATAAGAAGTGACGACGGATGAGATTACAGGTGAGAGATGACAAGGAAAAAAGTCAAGTAAAGAGATAGAAAAAAGAACAGGAGAGAAAAAGGGACTTGTCATTCTTATCAAGACAAAGTTATGATAAACATATCCACCCCATAGGCATACAAAGGAAATTATGGTAGATATTCCAAAATAACCTCTTAGAATAAAATCCTTTCTATGAATTGCTTGTAAAATCAATTAAAGAGAAAACCTAATGGTCCGATACGACATACAACATAGCGCAGCCATAAACATAGTTAATAGTATCTTTGTATGCATGCATGTTGTGCTGCAGTAGATCGATCACATATATTGACAGCATTAAAGAATCTCCATAATCAATAATGTAAATTTTTTTTTGAAATATCCATAATCAATAATGTATATTTAATTGAAGGATTTTGTATTTAGTAAGGTCTTAAACAAGGACTTTACGTTCATAACATCCCTAGGTCTCAGCCTTTCCAAATCAGCAGATGATCTAAATACATGTGCTTTAATTTCTAACAAAATGTGATACCTCTCTAGATGAAGTAAAACCCTCTGAATCACAATTATCCCATTCCACAGCTCCTCATGCTCGTTTCAAGGCACAGTTCCATCACTATCTGTGCCCCACCATCAAAGTTGAAAAACAAAATCAAGGATAAAAAGAGAAAAGTAACCGCATGAAAACTTGAGAACACAAGAGAAAAAAAAAGTAACAAAGAAATCAACCATGGATAGATTCTAAACCTAACCATACTTGATTTTCACATAAAGGCCACAAAAGAGTGAAAAAGGGAAAATACAAGCGAAATACTTACCTGATAACATGAAATTGTGAGCTCAAAATAAACTAAATAACTGAAAAACAGTGTCTCAGTGCAGAAACCAATTTTAGAAACAAAAGAAAAAAAAAAACCTATTATCATTTTTATCGGGAGTCGGAAACAACCAGTCAACATGTCAACATAAGCGAAACAAAATCTCCCATAAAACTGTCGAAACCAAATTCCCACGGCCTGTCACGTCACCTGATGATGCTTTAGAGAAAGAACGAATGAAGTAAACTAAGAAGAAAGAAATTTCCAGGCAAAACTTTCAGAAAGCAGAATTTGATGAGAAATAGTACATCGAAAGAAACCCGAATAATCAGTCAGTTGGACAAAAAGAAAGTGAAAAATCTAAGCATGGAGTTACGACCTAAACATTTCTGGAGAGTATATAAAGAAGAGAAAACAGGATTTACATTCATATTTTCCTTCGCAGACTACCAAATAATTTTCCTTTGAGAAGGAGAAAAATCTAAAGAAGAGAACCACAAATTCAGAGACAGATCAGATAAGTAGAGGACTGCTAAAATCAAAAGAAGCAAATGAAACTCACCAAAAAGTTTCGATCGAAAGAAGCTGGTATCGGAAGGATAATATGAAACGCGCACACCCCTAGCAAGAGGATAATAGACTGAAAAACGGTTAGACAATCGCTGAACGCCAATAAAGGATGCCGAATCGTCAAATGCGTACCTGAAATCGGATTTAAGCAGATGGAGAAAGAAGAAGAAGAAGAAGAAGAAGAGAAGAAAGAAAAAAGAGCCGAGTGAAGACAGAAGAAGAGGAGGAAGGACAAGGAAGAGAGCAAGTCAGTTTTCGCTTCGCATTTACTTTCAAAGGTTAGCTTTCATTTTATATTTTGCTCTCTCGCTTCCTTCATTTTTTTTTTTTTTTTTTTTTTTTTGTTTTTTGGGAGTTAAGAGTAATACTCGGGGGGTACTGAATACTACTTTACTCGCGGCTTTTTACTGTACACGTGTCGTTTTTTAAAATTTCTTTCTTTAATATGAATGAAAAGGTTTAATAATTGAAAATAATATTTTTATTATAAAATTAAGAATTTAAATTCAAATTTTATTTCTTATAATGTTTCAAAAAAATTTGAGAAATTCTAAACCTGTACAAACAAAATTTACATTAACGAGGGATGAAATTATAGTAATAAATATTTCATTTACAAATAAAATGTTTAGATTTTATTTCTTAAAATGCTATATATTAATTTACTTACTTAACATATAAAATTTTGTTTTGGACCTACTTCTTTTGATGTCAAAATAATAAATTATTCAAAACTTATATAAATATATATATATATATTACTTAAAAAATAAGTACGATAATTGACTACAAGTGCCCCCAAATAAATGCTGATATAGTTATTAAATTTAATAAATTTAGTTAATAATAAATATTTATAAGTAAACTTATTTTAAAAGAAAATGGGTATGTTTTAAATATTTTTCACGACAATTATTGGTTTATTTTTTAATATTTGAGTATAATATAATATAAAAATAATTTATACATATAATAATTGAAATTAAGTTCCAAATTCAATTACTATATTTATTTATTTTTCATTTCAATTGACCAGTGGTTGAGGACATAAATTTAAATTCAATAAATTATTAAGTCCATACGTACTATTGTGGGAAAGGTGACTACAAAAAATATATTAAAAATTTACATTTAGTTATTAAATAAAATATAAATATAAATATAAATATAAAAATTGAGTAGAGAAAAATAATGAAGCAAACCATGGATAATTTTCTAGATGGTAATTTGAATATTATGAGTGCTAGGTTAATTTGTGGGACTTTATGCTTAACCAATCACTAATTTAGAATGTAAATGTAATACGTATCACTCTATATATTATACAATATATATATATATATGAATAAGATATAAAAACTAAATTTTCATTAATCATAAAATAGGCACATTTATATCTTCAAATATTATATTTTTATTTATGCATTCAATTCAAAGGGTTGACAAGATATTTTATATTATATTTATTAATTTCTATTTTATATTACATACAGATTATAAATTTAAAAAAAAATATGTAATTAATTAAAAATTGTCTTATTTATATTTAACTATGATATATTATTAAAATTATTGTTATATGTAAAAAATTATATAATACATAATTTCTAGTTGATTAAAAATTAAACTCTGTTTAATTATTATGTATACTATGTAATATCCACCTATGAGAAAAAAAATATATAATAACAAAATTGGAGTTTGGACGTAAATAAAATGAATTTTTAAAATTTGAGGTTTTTAAGTAATCTCAAGGACCTAAATGAACGTAGATAAGTAAAAAGATGGTAAAAACATAAATAAGGAGAAGTGGAAGGAGGCAAAGAAAATTAGGAGAATGAACGGTTCATATCGAACCTGATGCGGAACCCCAAGACTCTTGCTTGAACCTTAGAACTCTTCAATTGGTTTAGAACGAAATTTAGATCATAAGTAAAAAAGGAATCAAATTTGTTCAATCATCCAAATGATAGAAGTTAAAGAGAACCCAAGAAAAATAAATGATATCGCTTGAACTCAATCCAAATAAGCACAAAAAACAATTGAAATAGGAAATTAAAATTGAAATACAAGTGATAACAATTGTATTCCAAATCAACACCTTGTGCATAAAGTGAAAATAAAGTCAAAACGCTCTCAACTCAATTCTGAAATATTTGATTACAACTATTGATGTCCACAAAGAAGAGTTTCTTTGGTATTTATAGCCAAAGAAATCAATGATAAGTTACAATATAATAACTACAATTATAACTCCCACAATAACTAGGCTAATTATAGGTATGTAATTGTTATGTAACTCCAATATTCTTAACCAACACCACTAATTGTTTGTGGCACCATATAGTTATGGGCTCATTCTTGTAATAACACGAATACAAGATTTAAGCCCAAAATGAATTATACTTAACTATATGAGCTTAATTAACTAAAACTAAAATAAAACAATCCAAAATACTTAAAACAACTCAACTAATTCAGCCCATACACAAGTCTTATTCATCCATTATCAATAACACTAATTGTTTGTGGCACCATATAGTTATGGGCTCATTCTTGTAATAACACTAAGACAAGACTTAAGCCCAAAATGAGTTATACTTAATTATATGGGCTTAATTAACTGAAACTAAAATAAAACAATCCAAAATACTTAAAACAACTCAACTAATCCAGCCCATACACAAGACTTATTCATTTATTATCAATAAGACTCAAACAAGCCCAAATTATCTCAAATCACTTAAATCCAATTAAAGTTACGAATTTGGGCTGCTCAAAAAGCTCATATTTGAACTTTCCACAATTGGCCAACCCATCATCCATATGTTTTTGAGTAAAAACTTAGAGCAACTCTTTAAGCTTCTTTGTTTTTGATCTTGTTACTAGTCCGCTGAAACTTTTCAGGTTTGGAACTGTATTTGTGTTTACATCATTTGAAATTTGCTCCAAGTCACATTCTGATGCTCTTTGAGTATCTTAAGTATTTTTAGCCTTGTTTGCATCATTCCCCCTCCCCTCAAAAGGATTCGTCATCGAATCAATTCCTGCATCAATTTCAAAAGAGGATAAATCAGATATGTTAAATGTAGCCGAAACACTATACTCACCATGTAGGTCTACTTTGTAGGCATTTTCATTGATTTTGGCTATGATTTGAAATGGACCATCCCCACGAGCATCCAACTTAGATTTCTGTTTTGATGGAAATCATTCCTTGCGCATATGAACCTACACCCAATCTCCGGGTTCAAATGAAATCTTGCACCTTCCTTTATTGACATGGGATGCTACTTGTTCATTTTTCTTTTCAATGTTCTGCCTTGCTTTTTCAAGAATTGCTTTAACCATTTTTGATTTCTTATGTCCATCCAAATTAGAAATGTCACTTAGAGGAATAGGCAACAAATCAAGTGGAGTTCAGGGATTAAAATCATACACAATTTCAAAAGGAGAAAACCCAGTAGAAGAATGTATGCTCCGATTATAAGCAAATTAAACAAATGGTAGCATATCTTCCCAAGTTTTAACATTCCTTCCAATTAAAGCACGTAATAATATACTAAGTGTTCTATTTACTACTTCAATTTGACCATCCGTTTGTGGATGTGAAGTAGTAGAAAATAAAAATTTGGTCCCAAGTTTGGACCACGAAACTCGCCAAAAGTGGCTTAAAAACTTAACATCTCTATCGGACATAATGGTTTTAAGAATGCCATGCATTCTAACAACTCCGCAGAAAAATAAATCTGCTATATGTGTTGCATAATCTGTTTTGTGACATGGTATAAAGTGTGTCATTTTGGAAAAACGATCAACAACAACAAATATTGAGTTTCAGCCTTTTCTAGTCCTAGAGAAACCCAACAAAAAGTCCATAGAAATATCAACCTAAGGATGTGTAGGAATGGATAATGGCATATATAATCCATGTGGTTGAACTCTAGACTTAGCTTGCCTACATGAGATGCAATGCGCACAAATTTTCTCAACATGTTTGCGCATATTAGGCCAAAAATGTAACGGCCCCGGAAATATTAAAATGAAATGAGTATTTAAATATATCAAATGCGGAAGCGAGATCAA